TAAGTTGCCTCGGTTTTTCCAAAAACACAGTAAAATGGTTACAAAATTACCTCTTTTCTCGCACCCAAACTGTATTCACAGATGGTTGGAGGTCAAACAGTGTTAAGATAACAAAAGGGGTTCCACAGGGTTCCATCCTCGGCCCCCTTTTGTTCTCTCTTTATGTCAATGATTTGGGCACTGACCTGGATCATTCCAGGGTAAATCTTTTTGCAGATGACACGATACTGATTACTGCTAGTCCTGAATACCTCCAAAACCAAGGTGCTATGCTTCTCACCAGGACTAAAGCAGGAAGTTATTTTTCCCCAATTACATTCCTTAAATAATTGTCAAATAGAGCAAGTCAAGATCTATAAGTATCTTGGGGTCATCCTCGATTCATTTTGAAGATCACATTGATTATATTGGTAAAAATACCAAAAAATTGGTTTTCTGTATCGACACAAGCACTGCTTCCCCCCAATGTTCCGTTTGGAATTGATAAAAGCTACCATACTGCCTCTACTTGACTAGTGTGACATCGTGTATAAATCAGCCCCAAGTACTGTACTGAAGAAGCTTGATTCCATCTATCACTCGGCCTTAAGATTTACATTGAACTACCCATATAGGACTCACCACTATGATCTCAACATTGGGTCAAACTTAACGTATCTTAATGTTCGACGGCTTGTGCACCAGATCTTATTTATTCACGATGTACTTACAAAAAAATACGCAGACTACCTGCTGGATCTCCTGTTTCAAAGAACAAATTTGACCTCAGGTCTTCGCTCAATTACCAGCTTCACATTCCCTATTGCCGTACAAAAACTGGAGGAAGGGCCTTTGCTATTGATGCCCCCAGAGTCTGGAATGCTATTGCCAATAAACTGCAACTTGAATCGCTACCAATGAGATCTTCTCTCAAAACTGCTCAAGGAGTTGTACACCCCTAGCTGCCACTGCTATTCATTGGCGTAAAATAAAATAAAATGTTTCGCTCCGGATGACGCTGCAAAGTATTATCTGTATTTTTATTTAGCGTGCTGATCTTAAAGGTGCATTGAAAAATTTGATACTCCGACCGATACTTCTGTTGTTGTGGAGTAACTCATGCAGCCAGCTATGGCTCTAGGATTTGGTGTTACATGTTATTTATGTAGTTTATTGTAAAAATTCGGTCACAGTCCTTGTGATCACTGTTACGTTGCAATTATGGCTTTATTGTGATTTGGAAAACGTTTTTTGGTTTGGACATGTTTTTTTGTTGTAGTACGGAGTTAGACTGATGGCCTTAATCTAAGTTTTTGTGGTTGTTGTTTGACTTGCATCCCACTGGGATTTTTTGCACACAGCGTTGGTGTACGGTGCTTTTTTCAGGAATATTTTTGCTGTTTTTTTTCCATGGATTTTCTGTTTGCACAGTCACATTAAGATGTTTTTCTTGTTCGTGTTTTTTTTGTTTGTTGTGGTTGCACCCGATTCAAGAGCCGAATGGCTCACAGGGCTATACCAAAATAAACTGAACTGAGACTACGGCTGCAGCCAGCTGTGCCACAGCTAAAATGCAACGTTATTTGTTTGAGGGAGAAAAACTTGATTACCGCATCAGCTTTATATGTATTTTCAAGGGGACTTTCTGTAAATCACTGCACAGAACTGAAATGTGCATATGCCAACCGTGCATTTATCCATCACATGTGCATTTTGGTACCAAGACACATAACATTCGAAAAACTAAATAAAATGACAATCTTATTATCCGTTATAGATTTTACATGGAAATTCTTTAGACAAATAATTTTATGCAAAATACATTTGATTGAACTCTGGGTATAAACACAAATTGGTATCAGCAGTGTGAAGTTGCATATGTCATTCAAATATACTGTAACAGTTTAAAATGACACCAAACAATAATTTAAAACAGGCTCAGAAAACAGCCATACGAATTGTTGATAACTTAATAGAAAAATAGCTGGAAATATATGGCACTATATGGGTGCAAGCTTAAGTAAATAAAGATAAAACTTCAGGGAAAGACAATTATATAGTTTATTGTAATACATCTACAGGTATGCATGAAATCATTGTGGCACTGCAGGAACAAGCCATGACAATAAACAATACAATGTAAAATCTTTCAAATTGTTTCCAAGTAAATGTTAACGCAATTACACAAATTAATATAACTTAGAAAAATTGTGTCATTATTTATAGATTATCCATGAGTTTAATAGAATGCAGCAGTGTCGCAGCAATGAGTGCACAGCACTTTCAACCCAGGGAGCAAAGGTCTATTCCTGGCCTTGGCTAAACTCAGTGGCAAGTGATATGTGAACAGGTCCTGGGTCCCCGACTTCAACCTACACTGACCAGCAAGGTGAAGCATGGTCAAACGACGTTCACAACTGGCAGCATGGGAAGACCTTCATCCCATAGTGGATTGATAAAAAATTGTAAATATTGCTGAGGTCTTTGCAACAATCAAAAATGAAACTACCGTCACACTACACATCTGAATAACACTGCAACGAAATGCCTTTGTGGGAAAGGATGGTTATGGGGGACAAACTGCTTTTAGCTGAGACATTTTAGCCCAATGCCACGGAAGACTGGCAATGACAATGGGAATTCTGAGGAATAGATTAACAAGGAAGAGAAACACAACCCCGTTCTCTCAACATTGTTTACTTTACAAAACACCATCGGTACATAGTTTAACAACCGACTCTTCAACATGTTACCAATATACAATGTTGACCAGGGAACAAAGTTACTGTTCATGGAATGTCAGCGATTCAGTGTGAGCCAGTTTACGCTGTCTGTCGCAACAGTCCACTATTTATATATGCTTGCACTATTCGCCCATTGGCTTCCAAATATGGCAATTATTATGAAGGTGGGCATATCACTGTGCATGTGGCTTAGATGGGACGTGATTCACAGTGGATGAAAACTCAAACCCTTTTCAGCATTTTAAATAAATCTTTCACCGGTTTAATTTTCCAACATTTTACGGGCAGTGTTTTAAAGTCTGAATCGTTAAACTTATGCACCATCACTGTCTGTGAGAAGCTGCATACCAATTCCAGTTGTCTGGGCTGTATTCCAAAATAGAACAAGGTGCACATGATCAAGCCATTGGGGAGTTAATGCTGGAATAGTTCTCTTTTTTTCCCATTACAACCCAAAAAATGACGAACACACAAGAGCCATGAAATACAATTACATTTTCCCAAAGGAAACAAAATACATTTAACCCACGTAACATTGCCACTAAAATGTTTCTGAATTACCCAAAAAATCCATATAAAATTATCTCATTGACCAGTAGAAAACATTTGGTCCATACACTGCTGTAGAGTAAAAGTGCGAGCGATGATTGTTAACTAAAATAAATTCATCCAATTCAACAAATGTAATTTAAAAAAATGTCCCGACGATGTGGTGTCATCACTTGAAAATAACTTCTGGCAGGGGGAGGGTGAAATGCAAGACACTGAAAATGTTACAAAAATTCTAAAGCATTTCAGAACATTTTAATGCAAATTCAACCTCGAAATCAAATAAAAATAGTCCAATGGTACTCACAATACTCAATGAGGCAAATAATTAAAATAGTAATGACAACAATGTTTTAATTATAAGCATTAACAGCATTGTACAAGTGGCACAGCCAGAAGGGTGTTAAAGGACATACCGAGGGCCCAACCTGGCTTGCCGTGCCCTTCCACAACACGTGCACACAATGTGCATCGTGTATGGAGCATGCACATTGGGTGCACGATGGGGGAGTCTGGAGTGGTTCAATGGGCAAGAATTACGTCCCTCCTTTGGTAACTGCCTCTCGGCTGCTGTGCCGCCTCATTAACTGCAAAATGTTAAAACACCTAACATCCAATTTACATAATTTGTTGCATCAGAACTGCTTTTTTGTGTTTAGTTTGTTGTCCGCCAACAACTCCGATTAGCACGGTAGGCTACGTCCAGTGGAACTTAAACATACATACATGTGTAGTGGATTAACACGCGCATACTGGGGGGAAATGGTAAAGACGCGCGAGTTATGGACAGTGGGGTTAATGTCGGGCCGGCCAGGTGTGGCGGCGGGTAACTGTGCGGTAATGACGGGCCAATTAAGCCAGGGAGCGATGTACGGCTGTGATTGGCTGGGGTTGTCAAGGGCGGAGTGGCGCCGGGATGTCTGGGAATAGAGGGGGGCAAGTAACAGGTGCGGGGGGGGGGGGGGCACGCGGGGCATCGGTGGCACTCGGGCTAATTAATTGGTTGGTAATGAGAATGGGGATATATTCGGGAGACGGGAAGAACGAGGGGAGTTGTGGTTGGGACTGGAACGACTCAGGTGTGAGAGAAACGGGGAGAAGACAGGAGACAGAACAGCTAGCAGTGGAGCAGAGACAAGGAGTGACTGAAAGGGATAGAGACAAGCAGAGACAAGGAGCGACTGAGAGTGATAGAGAGAAGCAGAGACAGAGGGAGACAGAGAGAGACAGAGAGAGACATAGATATGGAGAGGGTACGGAGAGAGACGGGGAGAGAACCAGAGTGAGACACAGAGACAGAGAGAGACATGATACGGAGAGACGGGGAGAGATAAACAGAGACAGAGAGAGACATAGACACAGAGAGTACAGAGAGAGACAGGGAAAGATAGACGGAGTGCGACAGCGAGCGATGGAGAGAGACGGGCGGAGCATGGCGAGCCAGCTGCGGCAACAGAGGAACTGAAGTTAGACGTAATGTGGGGAGTTGTAATAAAAGTGGTGTCGGAGAAAATAAAGTTGTCCGCGTGAAGTCGACCACTACACATGTAGAAATAACAGTGTGGATACAAATAACCAAAAACTGGAACGAAAGCCCATTGTGTAAAGAACAGTAAAAATCCAAATTGATTAATACAGTCCACGAGTGATGCAAATTAATCATATGTAGCAATTCGAGTTGTTTACATTAAAGTCTGGCTTTATAGCATTGCCATTGTTTTAATTCAATTTTTGTTTTGGAACCCAAGGAGGTGGAATACAAATGTTTCCCAAGGTGCATGTATTATGACGATGGTGGTGCTTTCGGGGGCATCCATGATCATTTTCACGAGCAAATATTAAACGGTCCTTTTGGTCCTTTACACCCTCCCAAAATGTGTTGCACAAAATGGGCTGTTGTGCAATCTTTTATTTTATAATTTCATCAACTGAAGCCATTCCCCCACGTGTGCTTGATAAACCCACGAAAATAATTACAATGAACCACTTAGGTCGCCAATGGCTGTGTAGGGAATGAGCAAAATACAGAAGCATCTGCAGCAAAAAAATATATGTGTGGACATTAAATATGTAAAAAAAAACAAATGGACTAGCGAACATGAATAATAACAATCCGCGCCTATACACATTAATTCATTAACAAAGACGAATTATTTGGGGGAAAACCAATATTTTACAAGCCCTGCTAATGCATTTAAGATATGCAACATAATACAGTGTGGCTACAGTACCAGTTTAAATGTGCAAAACTAAATATTTAAGTTGACAGTAGTAGACTAAAAAGCAATAAAAGTTGTGCACATTGATGCACAAACTACCAAGCTAAGATTTAATTCTTATTTATTTTCATGTGAATATTTTTAGAAAAAAATTTTGCCAACAAAAAATATTTATAAATATAGATTTCAAATGAATATCCAGTGAATAAAAACAAACGTTGCTCAAGAACAAGTAAATAATAGCTAAAACATAGCAAATCTAACTTCAGTTAACTTATTGATTAAGACGATAAATATATTACTGTATTTCAAATAATGTGTTGTCAATTTAGTGATGCAAGAACCAGCAGGTAAATTAATCACCCAGAATTGCATAAAAGTATAAGATATTCTTCTTAAAAAATACTGGCACAAATCAATAAGGCAGAAAAACTACTTTGTTTAGTAACTGTCGACCTAATGTTTGCAACATTATCCGTCATGTCATCAGTGATATTTACAGCAAAACCTCCCAAAGCCAGTTTGAGTCAGCCAGAATTTAGCACGAGCGAAATTGCTACTTGAAAATAAATAAAATATTCGAATTAAACAAACAAAAATCTCCAACTGGAACATTATTTGTGTGCAAATTGGGGTGCACGTGGTAGGATACTGCATTCTGCAATCAATGCATCAGCCTACCACATTGTCATCCAGTGACGATTTTATACCCTCTTTGTTGGACATTATTCTTATACATTAATTAAAGATTAAAAATTCCTAAAAAATAGAAGTTTAACTAACTAAACATTTATTTTAGAAAATGTAAAAAAATTCAGAGCACAATGTCATCACTAGGTCACGTGGTAAAACCGGTCCATCAGAAAGTCTCTTCAGTCCTTCCCACACCCCAGTTGACCTCATCCTTTCCACCTGTGTTTCATGGTGATGGTGTACTGGATTTAAACTGTACATAAGTGATTTCGAAATTCTCATAAAACCGCAAATATTTGATATTTTTAATAGTTGTTCAGTGTTCATTAATGTATTAGGTGTTAATTATGGTTCAATGAAAATTTAAATGTAGTTAAATTGCAAAATATATAATTATTGGCATTATAATAGACATCCCGACCTCACCAGAAAAATGCTCTCCCCTAATTAGTCTGGCTTTGAGACGTTTTAGTATTTATCACAAAATAACAGTTCCAAGCAGATGGCACAAAACATTTAATCATCCGACTTGTAAAGGGGTGGTTAAAGAATGTGAATGGATTTTTCCAGTGTTCTCATTTGCAATTAAGTTCACTGCCAGTAAAGCAAATAACAGTCTCTCGATGGCAAACAGCAGTCACCAAGAGGAAGTATCATAAGATATCCCATTAGTAAGCATTCTGATTTGATCCAAGCCATTCCCATGAGCGCAATCTGAAATAACCTTGATGGAAACGATGATAGTAACCAAGCCTAATTTTGATCGATGATTTGGTGTCCCTGTTTGAGTGCTGACCACCAGAACATGCTGCAGTGACAGTTTCAGTTTTTGGCATGTATTCTGCTGTTTAGCAACACATTATTGTTGGCAGAAACTAACAGGAACACACAGCTGGCACAATGCCTCCATGTGACCATTCCTGAAATGGTACTGGATGTATTCTTTTTCAGTTTTCATGGAAACGTCAAAGTAGAAAAAAACCAAGTAGCAACACGTGACTTTCCACAGTACACGTGGAATTGGAAATGATATCCACAGTAGCCATAGGTTTGACAAATCCTCCCAACACTTTCTCACCCAGGAATGTTTAATTATACCTCCTGACATTACATCAAGTGCTTGCACACTAAAAACAGACGGACAGCTTGATCACGAAAGCTGCCCACTCTCAAGTCTGCCGCAGTGCCACCGCCTACAAATGCTCACCATTGATCAATCTTGTTGATACAAGTTGACTTTCATGATGTCTTTAAGCACATTTTTTATTGTGCTACAGCCCAACATATTACGAGGATAAAATAACTAAAAAAATGCAAGTGTCATTTACTTCTAGGGCATATTGTATTTTTTTTTACTTATTCGTAGGGCATCAACTTGACGTTGACAACCTTTACAGTGATTTATTGGGATAAACTCAACGCCCGCCAGATTAAATTGTACAGTGGAAAGAAATTTCAAGTACTTATGGCTTGAAAACATTTCAAACTAGAGCCATCTCGTTTTCTGCAAGAAAAACATGGTAGCCTTGTCGACCTTTCTGGGAGACAGGAATTATGTATGTTCACATTTGTCATGGTGCATTGTAAAAAAAAAATATGGTGTAAGGCAGTTTAGGCCATAGCCTCCCTCATTTCATATTCTAAAAATAAGTTCAGAAGATAGTTGCGTAAATTATGACATTTACCAAAGCGATTTTTCCACCTGGCAGTGGCTCCTTGTATTCAGTGAATTTTCTTTTATTTATGAGATCAATTATGTCACTCCAATTTTGCAATGCTGCATTTTTATATATTATCGCATTTCGAAATGTTTGAGAACACTGCTGCATTAGCCTCATACCTTCTGTTCACCATTTGGAAAGTGTCTCATGATGAAATTGAACAAGTGTTATATCAACGCATTATATCGTCAACTTCTGTGCTGTGAAATTACTACTTCACAGCGAGTTTATATTGTTCTTCCCTTGATGAGAATATACATTTGGGACACAGTGACACTTGGAAAAGTAATAACCATGCAGGGGTTTAACCCACGAAGCCATGTACTACTTCCACGATACCATTAGATGTAACTAATATTCTGGACCACATTTTAGTATAGATCAGTGCCTTCTGATGGTTATAGAATAAGGCTCGCAAAGAGCTAACTTAATTTATTTTTCTCAAAATAAACAATTTCTTTTCATTGTTTGGACCACAGTGCCATTTAGAACCCAATGTACATTTATGAACAAAATTTAAGGAAAACATTTTCAAACAAGGTTTGGCTTAAACAATGTCTCGTCAGGGTGTTTGTTTTGATGAGTCCTTGCAGAATGCCTCAATGGCTCTCTCAGCCTTGGACGTCAGAATGGCAGAGAGCTTGGTTAGTGCAGGATCTCGTGGCCCACGTTGTACGGCAGCACAGAGCTCACGTAGTAGGCGACGCCAAGTGATAGCAGGGCAATGGCCAGGATGAGCATCAGGACTTTGCCAAGGCCGAGGTCAGCCACGACTTCACGCCAGGTGGAGCGCACGCTGGACAGCACTCCTTCCTCGCGCAGAACACCTGGGTTCAGCAGGCTCTCCATTACCCTGGCAAATATAAAGACAAAGATCCCCCAGTATAGCCTTAACAGACTTTTGCCACACGTGCTTTTAGCAAGTACCCTGGCACACACACAGACTTTCACAAAATATCTAAGACAGGTGTCGGCAACCTGTGGCTCTGGAGCCACATGCGGCTCGTTAAGGATTACAGTGTGGCTCTTGAAATTCGAAGATAATGGCTCTTCTTGTTATTTTGGTTGCCAACCCCTGACCATGGAGGTCCAGTTCACCATGGGCAGCGGTCGGCAACCTGCGGCTCCGGAGCCGTTTGTGGCTCATTAAGGACTGTTTTGTGACGTTATTCACATATATTGCGTTTTTTTTATTAACCGAATTGTATTTTTAAATGTATCTTTTTGTTTTGGTTGCTGACCCCTGATCGAAGACATGTTATGCATACTTTTTAGAGTGCTGTTGTCCGACTTACATTTTTACATTAAAAAAATTACCTAAGATTATGGCTTAATGCTCTGAAACAAAATGTGTTGAATCATCTTGCCTTGTAACATTAAACAAACATGAGAATAGGTTTTCCCCTTTTTTCTGGCAACAAAACAGGTGTTAAGATGTTTAAACAGGTGTTAAGATGTTAAAATACCTGTTTTGTTGCCAGAAAAAAGGGGAAAACCTTTTCTCATATTTTGGTACTGGCAAAGGAGGTCCCATGATTAAACAGATAGCTTCACATCATGGCTTAAGGTGCATTGTTCATTTACTGCAGTGAATTTAAAAGGTGACATATATTCAGGATCCAACAGAGAATGAAAAATACCAAGAATTCAGAAATGTGCCATTAAAGCGAAGCAGATGACAGCATATGCAAAGAATAAATATACAAAAGGAAGATTAAATTAAGTGTGGCCTTCACTCTGGTGGGCCCCATTTCCTGCTGTTCAAGTGATTTTCTCCCCATTTCCAAAGTACTGTATCCACAGATGCCATTACAGCTGCTTCGATTGATTCTACTTAAAGGACAAATATTTGCTAAATGCTACATTTTCCTCACCCCCAGCTGCTGCTCTCTCATTCCACAGTATACATCCAACCATGACATTTGTGGAATACGGTAATACCCCGGTATACGCCGGGGCTGCATTCCTGAAAAGTGGTACGATGAATATCGAAACGGCGTCAATTAATGAGATTTACAGGGTAGGTGGTGGAGGCGAAGGCTTAGAGGCGACGGATAACGAGACAGGACGGACAATGCGGTCAGCGACTTCAGTGTCGGTTGAGGCGATGCGAATGCGGTAGGGGTATTAAAGTGACGACTTATTTGCGAATCGATATAAAAGGGTGAGACATAAATCAGGGTATTACTGGAGCAGATGTATAAAATGATGCATCTCAATATCAAGTTTTGTAATATGCTTAACGCAATGTAACTTATAAGCAAAGGTTGCTTGTAGGCTGTGTTAATTTTTGTATATAAAAAAACAATATGGATCATTCGAACTCGACAATAATAAGCAGTGCATCAGGCTTGAACTTTATTTTGCTTAACCAGGCGATAATTAAACTCAGATTACTGATATGCTGGGAATCAGATACGTTTCTCATATTCTACACCAAAACATTTAAAAGCTACTACCTTTATGCATATTCTAGACTATACTGACATCATATACAAATCAACCTTTAAAACGACTTTGAATTGGCAAAAGTCTATCGTTTATTCAGCGTTATGCTTCATCTTACAAATTACTCCACTCAACACTGTGATCTTTACTCAAAGGCTGGTTATCAAACGCGTTCAACTCGGGAGATTCATTGGACCTATTTAATCTATAATCCATACACACAACTCTGTCCTTTATCTATCCAAAGTGTTTATTCAGAACCAAAGCCCTTGAAATATTAGATGCCCCACAACATTAACGTGTATTAAGCAAATACATTCAAATGGCTCTCAGTCATTATCTGTTAATATCCCAAACACCTAAAATTCTATCGCTTTAAAAATGTCTTCCATTACTCTCCCATGTAAATCAACAATTGAATCTAAACTGTCAACTCTTTGATAACCTCACTTGCAATTTTCATCCAATAACTGTTCAATATTTCTGTAACCTAATTGGTAATTGTACTCTGCCCAAGCCATATTAGGCTCCAGAGAAATTATTACTCCGCAATGATTCATGTTTGTGCACTATTTTAGAGCACTCAGGTGACAATTGTTTTTGTTCCTATTTTGCTTCATTGTCCTTATGGCATTTTGATAACCCAGATCACTCTTGCGAATTAAGGCTATCCTGGTGTCTTGAATTAAACATATAAACACCCAGCAGCCGCCTACAGCCAATCTATTTTACACACAAGACTGCATTATGAAAACAAAGGTGGCACTCATTTCACCGAGATGCCACCCATCTGAAGAAAAACAATCAGTGTATGCAATTTTCATTGCTCGGATGATTGAATTTACATAGAAAAATACATGACGTGCCTAATTTGCATTCACAATGAACAGAAAACATCCACACAGGTCTACTGTACTGCAAAAGCTCAAGAAGAGCAGTGTTTTGACATGGCTTCGAGGCATTCTTTACAACACAGTTCACAATAATCCATAATCACACATTCTAAAAAAGAGGCTTTACTCAAGTCAGCAGGGGCATTTATGACATTTAATTACTAACATCACATGTGTACTCTTGTACATCTACGTTGTGTACTAATATCTGAATTTATTGTATTTATTAAAAAAACTGATAGTGAACACAAAATATATATCTGCCTATGAACTTAATGCATTCATCAATCATTTATATACACATGCTGAATACACAAAAGGGAGTGTGCCATATTGGAAAGTGGGTGCTATATTAATCTTGTTCATTTCCATATGCCATAACAAGAATCAATATAGCAAGTGAGCTTCGCTTAGAGATCTAAATATTGTAATATCCATATAATTTCACCCATCATTATTTTTCAGGAACAATTTTCAATGAAATTTCCAATCACAACAAAAAACTGACAGTAAAGTCACGAGTGGTACGGCATAATCTCTAATATTTTTCCATACATTATTTGTGTTTTTGTACGTGGGTGTTGTTTGTATAAAAACATGTTAATATTTTGCCTAAAAGTGAAATTTTGTTTACCCCCTTGCTTTATGTGGAGCTACAGTGAGGGAAAAAAGTATTTGATCCCCTGTTGATTTTGTACGTTTGCCCACTGGCAAAGAAATGATCAGTCTATAATTTTAATGGTAGGTTTATTTAAACAGCGGGAGACAGAATAACAACACAAAATCCAGAAAAACGCATGTCAAAAATGTTATATATTGATTTGCATTTTAATGAGGGAAATAAATTTGACCCCCTCTCAATCAGAAAGATTTCTGGCTCCCAGGTGTCTTTTATACAGGTAACAAGCTGAGATTAGGAGCACACTCTTAAAGGGAGTGCTCCTAATCTCAGCTTGTTACATGTATAAAAGACACCTGTCCACAGAAGCAATCAATCAATCAGATTCCAAACTCTCCACCATGGCCAAGACCAAAGAGCTCTCCAAGGATGTCAGGGACAAGATTGTAGACCTACACAAGGATGGAATGGGCTACAAGACCATTGCCAAGCAGCTTGGTAAGAAGGTGACAACAGTTGGTGTGATTATTCGCAAATGGAAGAAACACAAAAGAACTGTCAATCTCCCTCGGCCTGGGGCTCCATGCAAGATCTCACCTCGTCGAGTTACAATGATCATGAGAATGGTGAGGAATCAGCCCAGAACTACACGGGAGGATCTTGTCAATGATCTCAAGGCAGCTAGGACCATAGTCACCAAGAAAACAATTAGTAACACACTACCACGTGAAGTACTGAAATCCTGCAGCGCCCACAAGGTCCCCCTACTCAAGAAAGCACATATACATGCCCGTCTGAGGTTTGCTAATGAACATCTGAATGACTCAGAGGACAACTGGGTGAACGTGTTGTGGTCAGATGAGACCATAATGGAGCTCTTTAGCATCAACTCAACTCGCCGTGTTTGGAGGAGGAGGAATGCTGCCTACGACCCCAAGAACACCATCCCCACCGTCAAACATGGAGGTGGAAATATTATGCTTTGGGGGTCTTTATCTGCTAAGGGGACAGGACAACTTCACCGGATCAAAGGGACAATGAACGGGGCCATGTACCGTCAAATCTTGGGTGAGAACCTCCTTCCCTCAGCCAGGGCATTGAAAATGGGTCGTGGATGGGTATTCCAGCATGACAATGACCCAAAACACACGGCCAAGGCAACAAAGGAGTGGCTCAAGAAGAAGCACATTAAGGTCCTGGAGTGGCCAAGCCAGTCTCCAGACCTTAATCCCATAGACAATCCGTGGAGGGAGCTGAAGGTTCGAGTTGACAAACGTCAGCCTCGAAACCTTAATGACTTGGAGAAGATCTGCAAAGAGGAGTGGGACAAAATCCCTCCTGAGATGTGGGCAAACCTGGTGGCCAACTACAAGAAACGTCTGACCTCTGTGATTGCCAACAAGGGTTTTGCCACCAAGTACTAAGTCATGTTTTGCAGAGGGGTCAAATACTTAATTCCCTCATTAAAATGCAAATCAATTTATAACATTTTTGACATGCGTTTTTCAGGATTGTTTTGTTGTTATTCTGTCTCTCACTGTTCAAATAAACCTACCATTAAAATTAAAGACTGATCATTTCTTTGTCAGTAGGCAAACGTACAAAATCAGTAGGGGATCAAATACTTTTTTCCCTCACTGTATGTGATCCATTCTCTATATATGCTGACTTTTTCATCGTTTATTTTACCAATCTGTGGAGACTGCTCCATCATTATACTCTGTAATCATAGATGCACCCTAGTGTCAGGGCTAAGTTACATACAAAAATACTCAACTGCCTGACCTCACATATGTATGCAGAACTTATTTCGCACCAAACGTAGCAAACACACTTTCTCACTGGCCACCCAAAGAACAAAGCAATCAGACATTAAAGCCAGCTAGCCAACAA